GAGCCCAAGTCCTTCCTTGACAGTGTAGCTTCGTTGGTGTAGGTTGTCTGTGGGTCAGATTCCAACCCCTGCAACCGGTAAGCTCTAGGCACAGTGAGAGGACTTTAGAAGTTTCAGACTCAGGAAAATCTAAATCTCCAAGACACTTTCCGCTGTCTGAAGTAGAACACAAAAACAGCGTAAATCTCTCTTTATGGGTGACCTACCCACTTTCCATTTTTTGGCTACATTATGTAAATAATTTTTTTTTGTAGGTTCATCATTTCCTCTTGAGTAGCAGCCTCATTTAACTCTTACGAATCCTGAAACTAGCCAATGATACCATCTGCGCCCCTCGTTTCCTGTCAGCGCCTGCCACGCCCCCTCCTCTGCGTGCAGGGATGCTGTGCTGTGCACGCTGCCTGCCCTCACGGATGGGAGCCGTGCAGCTGTGACACAGGGCGATTCTCAGCAGCTGCGCTCCCAGCGTTTAAGAGGCGCACTGGGGAAAACAGAACGGCAGGCCTGGTCCGGTTCCAGATGGGAAAGAGTCGGAGAGAAGGGTTTCAGCAGAAAGGTCAGCAATTGCTAAAGCCCCGTGGTGGGGACAGACTTGGGCCCAGAGGTGGCCCCGCAGCTTAGACAGGGGTGCTGAGGGTGTGGGACCTGGAGGAGCAGAACGACGCAGAACCAAACACGCACAGCCTCGCAGGCAGGATAAGGACCTGGATTTTATTCTCAGAACAGTGTATTCATTCATCCTCCCTCGTGCATGTGCTCACGAGTGTGTGTGTGTGTGTGTGTGTGTGTGTGTGTGTGTGCGCGCGCGCACGTGCATTTTGCATTCAATCTAGCAAACTTAGGAAGCATCTTCTAGGTGAAGCAACAACTGTAAGTGCAACCCTGGTATTATCCTCACAGAATGTTCGTTGACTGATAGGGGAAGAGGCTCAAGTATTGAACACCTCAAAGACAGGGCAAAGAGTGGGATGATAAAGGTATTTTGTGGATAACTGCTTTTCATTGGTCTGATCAAAAGCAGCACCAGGCTTCCCATGTTTTCTGGCAAAGGGTCGTTGTTTCTGGGGCAGGGAGAAGGGCCCCCAGGTTATGCATGAAATGCTCATTAAAAGTCTCCGGGTCTTGGACACGCACTTCTACATGAATGCCCCTCCTTAGCAGGGTAGAGTGTGAAGTCGCTGCCCTGCGGCATTTATAGGCACGGTGTCGGTCTGTTACTGGAGATGAGCAGGTGTCGGTCTGTTACTGGAGATGAGCAGGTGTCGGTCTGAGATCAGCACGTCCGCTTGCATTACTTTGTTAACTCACCCTCCTCTTTGTTTCCCTCTTCCCCACCCCACAATCTTTTGATGACTACTCAGAAATGCAGACACATTTTTAAATATACTTTTAATGGGATGAGAGATATAATGACTTTGTATCTGCCGCTTTGCTCTTCGCCTTTATTTAATTTTACATGTATGACATTTCAAAGAATGTCACTGCAGACGTTGCGTGTCTGGCAGCGGAGGGAACAGCACTGGCAGCGCAGTGAGACACGCGGCTGCTGGCAGGACGTGTCCTCAGGCCCCTCAGACACGGCACCTCCCATGCGTTTTACTTCGCTTCTTCCTGACCGTAGCCAAATCCCGCAGTGTCATAAAAGAAGCGTCACCCAGACTCAGCTGTGACTACGGCCTGCCGTCAGATGTGGATGTTATCAGCAGCCTTTAAAGTGCCCATGTGAACTTTGCACACTATTAGCCGACAGATAAGCCGGTGGGAATTCGACATAAATTCTGAGGCCTGTCCCAGAAAAAAAGCAGGGGCGGGCTGGATGCTGATTGCTGGTCTCGTAAAACGTTATGGCTGAAATATTGCACCTCTTTTTGCTTATTCGGAGTCATTAACTGTAAACGGCCCAGTCATTAAAGCCATTAAATTAAAGTCATTAAATTCTCTTTGAGGAGACCCATCCTTATGCGTTGTCCCTCCCCTCAGCTGAAATGATAGGCCGTCGTCTTCCAGAAGCAGCTCTTCTTTTCATTCTCAAAAATAAGTAAGAAACGAGAAGATCCAGGCACCCGGTGGCGTGGCTGTGCCCCCTCGGATGAACGTGTTCCTGCTTGAAGAGGCAGGAGCTGTTATTCTTGTGCCTAACGTGTGGTATTGGGCAAGCGCCTTCACTTCTCCTAAAGTCCAAAATTTGTCATCAGAAAAGGATGGGGAGCGATACAGACGAAAGCAATGCAATTTATATTGTTATGTAGGCGTTGTACCGAGAGATGTGGTGTATGTCCAGAATGCATATAGAAATGGATATGTACACGTTATAAAGCAGCCTTTTTCTTTTCATCTCCATACCCCAAAGGCAGTTCGTCAAGCGATAAACCCTCTGGATTCCATCTCTTACACTTATTTGCACTTACTCTCATTATTCAAGAACTAAATGTACTGTCATTTCTTATCTTGAGTGTCTCTGAAATCTGGGGCACACTACCCAGCACACCCCGATGGCACAGCAGTGGAGAGCGGGGGGTGGCTCTGTCGTTAGCACCTGCATGAAACCCCTGCTCGCCAGCCGCAGCACGTTAAGCTTTCTATGCCCGTGTCTCCTCATCTACAAAAGGCACCTAATAGTGCCTATTTCCTAGGCCTTTTGTTTAAGTGAGAGGATGTGCACCCTCTCAGCTCCCAACTAAGTAGTTATTAAACTGTTAGTCATCTTCCCTTCTCTGTAACAGCCTATGAACCTCAGAGCTTTGAAATAACTCAAAATGTATCTTTTCCCGGAGTAATGAAACTCTGTTTCCATACCTGCATTTCACTGTCTCCCTGGTGAGATATCAGATGATTTGAGGCACTACACATATGAGCATTTTCTATGATTAGAGATACACAGTAATTTTGGGGGTGTCTTTTGCTAATGGTCAGTGTTCCTGGTTTTCCACTGACTAGCTCTTTATAATATATTTAGGGTAAAAAAAAAAGCAGATGAATTGAATTGAAAGAAGTGTTAATGAAGCAGTGGAGGTGGACGACACAATCGTGAAAGGACAGCCTGTGGATGGGGCTGGGCTTGCCGGGAGAAATCCCACCCTGGCTCTTACCCAGGTGCCGTCAGCCTGGCGGTGTGGTACACATGCATGTGGACTGTGACTTTGGTGCCTTCTGGCCCTAGACTGGGCATTTTAACCACCCTTCCCCTCCCAAACAAAAACAGCTGCTTCACAGGGTGTTTTAAAGCTGCATCAAAAAGAGATAAGATATTCATCTACTAGGCATATCTTCCATACCAAGCTTGTGCCTGGGGTAGTCAGTGCTCAGTGCTCCGTGAACTTTAGTTCTTCGTCACTTAGGACCTGTGACTGCTCGTGGTAGAATCCCAACTTGGACTAGCTCAGCACCAAAGGATTCGTTGCCTTGTGTGCTCCGTCTCCAGGAAGGTGAGCTGCGATGGAGCTGGGGACCCTGCTGAATTATGCCCAGCTGGAAGCAAGGACTGGAGGCCACCAGCCCCTCTCCACTCCTGCCTCTGGCTTTGTTAACGTTCTTCTGGCCAGGGCTAGCCACAGAACTCTGGCTGTGCCAGGCTCGGTCGCCAGCTGAGAGAACCCTGAACCCAGCATAGCCAGCTCTGCCTGGGTGGCCGCTAGTGTCCAGAGAGTGGGAGCCAAGGGTATGGGCCGTGCCCAGTTGGACCACCTGCTTAGAAAGCGGCAAAGGCCCTTTGCAGGAGAAGCTGAGTGACGTGTTTGCTGCTGCCACGTTGACCCCTTTCAAGTGCCTGAGTGAGCTTCTGGGCAGAAAGGAAGGGTTTAACTTGAGGGGCTCGTGTTTTCTCATCTGGAGTTTTGAGGTTTAGATGATGTCTTGGATGTGAGTGTACATTTAATGGTTCTAGGTTTTATATATACAAGTTTAGTGTTATAGTTTTTGTTGCTCATACCTGCCAAATCTTGACACACCATCGGGGTTCATATTACCCTTGGGGAAGCAGAGGACTTGAAGTTGTTTTAAGAAATGAAGCTGGCCCTCCCCGGTGGTGCAGTGGGTTAAAGCACAGCACTGAGAAGCTAAAGCTACTTCCGCATGAGTTCGATCCCTGCCTGCCCTGGTGGTGACCACCTGGCGCAGCAGACCTCTCCTGACCCGCCCGCTGCTCCCCTCAGCAGTGTACTTCGTCAGTCGTCCTATCCTGCTCCCCACTCTGTCTCTGGTGAAATCTCTCACCGCCGCTGCACCCCAGCTCTGTAGGCATAAATAAATAAATCTAAAAAAAAAAAGAAAAAAGAAACGAAGCTGACATACACAGGTTTATCTCTGTTGAGCAGACCCGTTTCAACTGGCTTTTGACCCTTAGGCAGTTCACTGTTTTCACAAGACAATTGTGTATCCACAGTAGGATTACGAATCAGCAGTGGCCACCCCAGGGTCCCCCTACTTCAGCACCGGTGGGTTGATGTAAATGAGCTGATTCATTTGGGGGGGGGGAAGTATTTAAAAGCATCACCAGCATCAGGGTAGCTCTTTCATACTGTGCTTTTTAAACGACATTTTTAGGTTCTAACTTGCAGCCAGCATTATGTCAAGATGTTTTGTTGTTGACACTAAAAGGAACACCTGAATTTAAAGCACTGTGCAGAGCTCCTCTGGTCGCTCCCATTACGCCACGTAAAAGTTTTCTTGCGGGCTACACGACTGACCATCGGGTGGTAGCCGTAGTTAGTCCCTGAGCAGGTGTCCTGTATCCCTGCCCGGGGTGCAGAGTGAGAAAGAAGGAAAGGAGTCTTGCAGTCTCCCCGCCGAGCCCCTTCACTCAGCACCGCGCTTCTTCGCACGATCCCATGCTGTTCCCACAAGCCTCTGCGCACCGTGCCACCTCCAGTGGCTGATCCGTCAGTTTGCGGTTTCTTGGTACTGGGCTAAATGAATGTGGTAACAAGTGATTTGTTTCTTACTTTTTTAAGTCTACCGGTTTCTAACATCTTTTTCCCTGTTTGTTTGTTTTTTTCTTTTAGGCTCTAGACCAAGATAGAACAGCCTTACAAAAAGTGAAGAAGTCTGTAAAAGCAATATATAATTCTGGTCAAGGTAAGATACAGTTCTGTATGATGTCTGCAGGCTTTTCTCTACTTTATCTTCACCTGCTCTAGATGCTAAGTTGATAAAAGACTTGATGCCGATGGGGAACTAAGCATGTCCAAGAAATGCCATTTTTCTGTTACGGTTTCCGAAATAAGGAGAAAACGTTAGTTATATCTAGCAGGTTTTATTATACATTTACCATTTGACTATAGTTACGGGTGGTCACCAGGCACTTTAAAGGGTCTGTGTAGCTGGCCCATCTGTTAAGGCCAGGACCTCATTTAAATACACGAGGACCCCATCTTTCTGGAGTGTGCCTGCATACACTGAAAATCAGTGCTGGTCACAGCATGAGGGCGGTTAACCTTGGATCTGACACACCTGCCGGCTAGTATTTTCTCGTGGCTGAAGGGTGCCAGGTAACCTGCCCACCTAAATGTTTTACATTTGGTCCAGTGACTTTATCATCTTGGAGACAAAAGTATGTTATCACATGGAAAAGAAGAAACAAACTGAATTAAGATAAACAATGGGTAACCACAGAAATGGTGTTATAGTCCCAGCACCTTGGGGCAAGACTTTGTGGGAAATGATTTTCCAGGGCTCTGACTCACCTCTTTTGTTATCACTGTTGCAGTCAGCTTAGCCTGAGTCATGTCTCTACAAAACCAATTGTGTGTAACTTAACAGAAAGCCGTGGGGGGTGGGGGGGAGAGGCAACTGAACAGGATGGAAAGGGCACAGCTTGGAGATTGGAGCTCTGCCCCTTTATCTGACGGAACGGGTTATTGCTCTCTGGGAACCAACCTCCATTTTCTCTCATAAAATGGGGATCTCAGTATAATAGTAAGGGGTTTAATGAGCTAACATCTAAGGGCCTGCCACTTCATGGGAGACCAGCCATGCTATATAAATACATATAAATACATACTATAAATGTATTTTTCTTTTTTTTTTAAAGATTTATGTATTTATGCACGCAGAACTGGGGTACAGGCCAGAGGTGCTGGGGCAGTGAGAAGATTCACCAGAGACAGAGTGGGGATTAGAACAGGCCGACTGACAAAAGTACACTGCTGAGGGGACCAGCGGGCGGATCAGGAGAGGTCTGCCGCGCCATGTGGGTCACCTCATGCTATTAGCTTCTCACTGCTGTGTTTTAACCTGCTGCGCCACCAGGGAGGGCCCTATAAATGTATTTTTCATATAAATTTTATATCCTGTCTTGGAATTATAGAGTTGAAAAGAACATTGAATAAAACAAACCTCAACCCTCGGATCTTTATCAGACTCGAGAGGCATTAGTCTCATTGCTGAGCTGAAACCTAACAGTTTTTGTCCTCACTAGAGCCCTCAAGTGAACACATTGTGTACCCTGGTCCCTTGACACGCCTCTGATGTCCAGTAGACACTAACTTCTACTTAAGGCAGGTGGATGAGGGTGTCACTTACATAGCACTGACCATGTTCTAAGTCTTGGTCTGAATTGCATGCCCAGTTGAGACCTTGCCTTAGCTTCATTTTTTTTTTTTAAAGATTTATTTATTTGTGCATACAGAACTGGGGTACAGGCCAGAGGCTCAGGGATGGTGAGAGGCATCACCAGAGACAGAGAGTGGGGAGCAGAACAGGCAGATCGACAAAGTCCACTGCTGAGGGGAGCAGCGGGAGGGTCAGGAGGGGTCTGCCACGCCATGTGGTCACCTCCGGGGCAGGCGGGGATCGAACTCATGTGGAAGCGGCTTTAGATTCTCAGTACTGTGCTTTAACCCACTGCGCCACCAGGGAGGGCCATCCTTAGCTTCATTTTAACAGACTCCAACCTTGCAGTAGGTGCTTCGTAGGTGTCAGCTCTTTGCGAAGGAGAGAGAGGGAAATCGCTAGGAGAGACCCTCGGGGGCTTCTGAGAAACAGTTACTATTCTATGGCTTGGTTTTGAGGGTGATGCATAGTTAAGTCTACATTTTTGAAAATTCATCAGTCCCTACACTTAGGATTTATATACTTTTCCAAGTGTATTATTATATGTTGTATATGCCAATAAAAGTATATTTAAAACTGATACATGAGTAAAAATGCATCTGAAATTGCTTCAGCATAAAGTGGGAAGCAAAAGTCTGACTACGACTTGTGGGGACAAGAGGAGGCGTGGCGTTTGTCAGCCCCGTCCACCGCCTGCCCCCCGCAGGGCCTGGCTCACGGGGCAGGGGCCAGGCAGTGCCTCGCCACTGGGCACCTTCTCGGCAAGGGCTCGGCCTTCTGCAGATAACGCTGGGCAGCCTGGCTTATAAAGAGCTTCACGAGCTGTTACCTGCCGCAGGACTCGGCGTCAGGTCTCTGCCATGTTCCGGCGCTGTGCGCCGCCTGAGGGAGCTCTCTGACCAGAGCGCTCTGACCTGGGGAGTCTCCCCCCTGCAGCCGGCAGCTGCTGGCTCCCCACTCAGCAGGCTGCTGGGGCCCAGCTTCTCCAAGGGCCTTGCTCAAGCTCACTCGCCCTGTGTCAGGATGAGTCCCTCGCTCAGCACACACCGCTTTTACTCAGTGGGGTGCACTGTCTCACTCTGTAGGGCTCTCCTTGGTAACAGCCAACCTAGATGTGGCAGGAGGGAGAGGTGGCCCCTGCATTTGTAAAGTGGGGAGTTCAAATGGGGACTACAGAGCTGGGCTGCCGTTTCCTCCAGGGGATCGTACTATTCCCAGGTGTAGGGGCCATAGCTGAGCAGTGAACCCCTTTGCCTGAGTTAAGGGTTCTACATCTGTACTACTAACGGAATAGCTTCTAGGCACATAAACTTCGAATTTAAATTAATTAAAAGTTTAAAACTCAGGTCCTAGGTGACATCCACCGAGCAGCGCAGACAAGCACCCTCGCGGCGGAGTCCGCCGCTGCGGTCGGGAGCAAGGCCCCCGGGGCGAGGTCTCGCTTAATGCCAGTCGTTCAGAGATTTTACGTGAAACGGCCTAAAATGAAACAGGTCCTCGGATGGCGAGTGCTCGCTCCGGTAGCATATAAAGCTCGAACGCTGTCACTTTGCTCAGCGGGGGCTCAGACCCGGGAGAGGGGTACATGCGGGTGACCGCAGACATTTTGCTGAGAGGCTTCCAGGTCGGCCCGGAGCGGGAAGGACAAGATTCCTAGGACCGGCCTGTCAGGACCTCCTCCGCGTTGCAGCTGTAGCAGGAAGTGACTTCTCACGCACGTTAAGGGAAGTGACCACATCCGGGACCTGCTGTGCTGCAGGTTTTGGTCCTTGGCATGTGACCCAGTGAGTCTTCACCACGGCTGGTTGTTAGAATCACCCAAAGACTCTTAAAACGCAAAACAGGGGTGCCGCACCTTAGGAGGATCCAAAGCGGGGCCCAGGCATTGGGGTGACAGCAGGATTACTCCCCAGCGGATCGTGACGTGCTGCTAAAACAGAACTCCTGGCCGGGCCTAGCAAGGCCTTGCCAGGCGCCTGCTGAGTCACCTTTGTGGTGCACCTGTCGGCGTGCTGTATTAGCTCAGCAGAAGCTTACTGAGCACCTACCTCAGATTTGCACGATTCTGGGCATGAATGTGTGTTAGGCCAATCAAACACGGTATCCGTCTCCATGCGTCCTGCAGTCCAGTGGGAGAGATGCTAATCAGATGATCACACCTTATGGCAGGTGCTATAGAGGAAAACTCACAAAGAGAACAAGGTGCGCTGTCTGATGCAGATTAGGCCGGTGCTCGGGGTCTGCCCCGCAGAGTAGCTCGCAGTCGTCGGTGTTGGTGCTGCGCCTGGCACACTCATCCCCATTTTATAGATGATGAAACAGAAGTGTCAGACCCAGGCTACGTAGTGCAAGTTGCCCGCCTCGCCAGGGGCGGAGCGAGACTCGCGCACTCCAGCCTTCTGGGGCGCTTCTCTGTACTTCGCCTGCACACGGCGGGCTCACCAAGCGTGGCACCAATGCTCTGGGTCGCTGGAGGGGCCCTGGGATGCTCTACCTGAGCGGCTGTTAAATATTCATAATCGTGGGTTTTTTGTGGCTGGATCGATGCAGTGCAGCCGCCCACGGTAGCCCCCGGGTGACTAGGCGGTTCTTGCAAGGAGCCACATTAGGAGTATTTTTGCTCAGCGCTTGGAAATGGGACGAACTCAGGTCTCTCAGACTTTAGGGGTCTGGTGGCGGCTCTACAGGCCCTTTGCTTTGGGTCAGCTTGTGTGGGCAGCACTGACACTTAATTCTTGAAAAAGAGCCAGATGAGTAAACCAGTGGTGGTGCGTGTCTTTCCATGAGACACGCTCAGTGGAATCCGTACTCTTCCCAGCCAGGGGCTTCTGGCCTCATCCAAAGAAGCCACAAGAGGCTGAAGCTGGGTGTCCATTTCCCAATGTGCTTTCATAATTCCCTTGTTTACTCACGGTCTTTAGGTGACATGAAACCCATCCGATGATATTCTTTAAAAATGTAAGAAACATCTCTTAGGAACCTACCCATCCCTAAGGTGATTTTTTTAAGGTTTATTTTTATTTATTCATGTATACAAAACTGGGGTGTAGACCAGAGGTGCAGGGGGTGAGAGGTGAGAGTGGGGAGCAGAACAGGTGGATCTACTGAAACACACTGCTGAGGGGAGCAGCGGGTGGGTCAGAAGAGGTCTGCTGCGCCATGTGGGTCACTCTCTGGCCAGATATCGAACTCATGTTGCAGTAGCTGCCCATAGCTTCATAGTGCTGAGACTTAACCCTCTGTGCCACCCGGGAGACCCATACAAGATGGTTTAGAATAGTAAAGGGTCTTATTTTTACCCCTAAGCTTTTTCAGTATTCATTCATAAACAGCACAGTATTCAACATTTTAGTGAAGAAACAGATTCTCTCTCTGCAAGCCCTTTAGTTTGAAAATAATTTGGGGAATGTTTCTTTCTTTTACATGTCTGTGCTGTGGATGAGCACATTTTCAAAAACAAAGTACTAAATTCTGTGGACTGCTGGGATCAAGGGAAGGTTTCCCTATGCTGTATCTCATTTTTG